GTTACAAGGCGACTTCCTCCCCATTTCCCTTCTTCCTGCTTCATAGCCAAATCCTCAAAGGCGTGGCACGCTACGCTCTGATGAATGCCATCGCCAATTCGCTCATGGGCTTCGAATTCAGTGGTGTCTTCTATGTGGGTGGAATTCTCATCGAAAAAGGCGCTATCTCCATGCTGCAGCTTTGGAGGTATGTTCTACGAACAGGTCAGGCATCACCGGTTCTCAAACCAAGTGCCAAATTGATCAGATGCCAGAATTCTGCCAGGCAATTGATCAGCTTAATACATAAGAGCACGGTGCAAGATGTCCAAAAATAGGGAAGTGTGTTTTAGTTTTCGGCTTTCAGATGATCTCGATTTGTGGTAATGCGGATTGAGTACCACATTTTGAAGGTGCGAATTCGATTTTAAAAGCCCGTCTTCTTTCTTTTTCTGTAGATCTTACTCAGCCATTAGTTTCGCATCCTCCAGCCTCGGCTATGCGGCGTCCTTTGTGCCCGACGCCAAGAAGGCATCAAAGGCGGCGAAGGCAATTTTTGAAATCATTCATCGTCACCCTCATCTGCAGCCTGATCATGGCGACTTCCCTGATCGCCCCTTCACCGGAAACGTCGTTTTCAACAACGTTCGCTTCCGCTACCCTACACGCAGGCAGGTGCCTGTGCTGAAGGTGAGATGAGTGGATGCGAAGTTACGACATCCTCATGGAGGACATGGGTGGTATTATGCATCGGATTGGAAACCGAATCGCTGTGGAAGTGTGGTGGTATTGGAGAGAGTTTGTCACTGATGCAAGGAGGGATGAAGGGTGTGAACATGGTCAGAATATCGTCGAACCAACACGGTGACAGAGGCCGTGCACTGCGAAGAGCCCATGTGGTCGGTCAAGTGTACAGTTGAAACAAGTGTCATTTTACTACGAGGCTATATTCGCAACCCTAGTGTTTGTGATGTGGGTGTGTGTGTGTGTGTGTGTGTGGATGGAGGTAGTTTGAAAAGGCTTGTGACTTGCCAACCTGACTCGCGTTAGTGCGTGTAACAGGGCTGGCGAAGAGCCTCCTGTTGAGAACGGGGTGAGGTGGAGGGATGATTTGCGTGAGGCCAGGTCACACGCAACTTATCTCTTGTCTGGCCTAACAACGAAGACATGAGCGGTTTATTTGTTGTATTGACTTCATGCCTAATGAGGGCGATCAGTGGTGGAGGTGACATGTCGAGGTCTTCAAGCTACACGGCCTGGTGCTCAATGTCCTCTATGGTTTCCGTTTTGTGCCTATCCTAAATACGGTAATGTTGAGTATTCAAACTGCGCGCGAGACAGAAGGGAGGATCAAGCGATGGTAGCTGTTCGCCACACCGAGAAGGCCTTCTTGTCCAACGGTGGTGAAGTATTTCCTGACTTTTGATTGGTTCGCTCGTCGTGTTCTCTTTACAAACTGGGTTGTGAAATGTTTTTTTTGATGCGGATAGTGTAAGGCTGGTGGATGTTGTGGTGTAGACACCTGTTCAACTCCATTCGCATTTCTCGGGAATACTTGACAAAACTTGCCATGGTGTTGCCATTTCAGCCTCCTGTAGCATTGAAAGGCTTCGTCTCTCCCATGAGTCACTCATTCATGCATAGTCGACACGAATGTAGTGACTCTTCTCCTTCTTCTGTGACGTTATGGCCTTGTATTCAGTCGGTGAAATGGAGATCAGTCTCCTTGATTCAGTTCACCAACACTCGCACCAAACTTAACCCCTTCAAACATCCTGGAAGAGGCTGCAAGACGTAAGAATCATGAAGTAGCCTTATTGCAGGCGCAGAGAAGGGTCAGTGGTCTTGTAGCAG